GCTGTTCATGTCATGGCTGCTTATCAGCTCTCTGGAAACATCTGGTCAGACACAGAGGGAGGGTTTTTTTTCCCTAGGAGAACTATTGTTTTGATCCAACACAGCTATTCTTATGTTACTGAAGGAAACAACAACCTTTAAGAGTAGGACACACTTTAGCAAATGTGGGGTAGCTTCTCTCAGTCAAAGGGCTGCAATTGGGTCTCAGGGAATTCTGGGGAAGGGGCTCATTTCAGAAATGATCGGGACCAAAAGTAAATAGTTGAGATCAATAAATACCACTATATTTTACTTTACAGCTCTTGTAACTGAAAATGAAGTCTTGGGGAAAGCAGATGCAGCCATTTAAGTTAGGAAAAGGGCACCCAAAACTCCTGAAAAATCACTAGAATCATGGAACCAGGGAGAAGTTATGAAGGCGGTCTCCTCAAGAATGCCATAGGGCTGGATTGGGATTCAAGGAGGGACAGATGAAGGCCAGGGGTTTCCCACCATGGCTACACTATACCAATATGCTGATGCTGGGTTCTAGATCAGCTGCCCAAATTCTCCTGGGAGGGAATAAAACTGCATAATGGTATGGTAGCATAATTCACACACATAGCACATGCTGCAGAACACAGTCTGCAGGTCTGCATACATTAGCATAACACATTTCTGACAAGGGTGGCAAGACCCTGGTAGATTACATGCTGAATATGAGCCAACATTGTCATGTGGCCACAAAAAAGGCAAATGGCTGCATTAACAGAAATATAGCATCCAAATCTTGTGAGGTGCTAGTTTCTCCCCTCTATTTGGCCCTGGTTAGGCCTCATATTCCCCTTCACGGATTACTGCCTTGTCATGGCGAAGGGGCTTGAATAATTCAGAGAATCTATGGGCTATGCTGTGCATGGACACCCAAGATGGACAGGTCATAGTGGAGAGTTCTGACTAAACACGATCCCCCTGGAGCAGGAACTGGCAAGCCACTCCAGTATCTTTGCCAAGAAAACTCCATGGACAGAAACAAAAAGGCTAAAAGATATGATGCTGGAAGATGAACCCCTCAGGTCGGAAGGCGTCCAACATGCTACTGAGGAACAGAGGAGGACAAGTACAAATGGCTCCAGAGCTAAGGAAATGGTTGGGCCAAAGCCGAAAGGACGCTCACCTGCGGACATGCGTGGAAGTGAAAGGAAAGTCCGATGCTGCAAAGAAAAATACTGCATAGGAACCTGGAATGTAAGATACAGTATATGAACCTTGGTAAGTTGGATGTGGTCAAACAGGAGATGGCAAGAA